AAAATTATATATCTATTTACTTGATTGTTTGTTGATTTGCCATACATGAAACTTTTCCCTCCAGCAAGATGGTCAGAGTCAAAGTGCCTCAAAATAGGCTGAACTATAGACACAGTTGAATTTTCTGTTCCCATATCAACTCTTAATATTCTTGGGCACCCTAGAATAAAAATAGTCCGTGATGTTGTTTTTTACAACTTATAATAACCTTGAGAGCGTACACAGTCAACATAGTAACTAGTGATTATTCTAGGATCATTATTTGATGATGCTACCTTAAGCCAAAGTATTCTACGAGAATATCTAAATTAATATGACAGACTATAATGCATAAAAATTCAAATTTACCCATCAATACACCCATGAATGCTTATACCATAAGGCTTCAATTTGTCATACCCATCTGCATGCCACATATAGTTAGGTCCTTTGTTAAGGTAGATTCTACGCTTTAGCCTTTGTGACTTTCTTATCTTCGTCCCTTCATGATCCATTGTTGCCAATAACATCATTACAGTGTCCCTGTATTAATTTTAAATCAAGCAGGGTTCTAAATATGACAATACCTTGTAACTGAAAAATTATATTTTCCTTTTAATCGGTGCCATAGGCTTCGATATCCTAACAAGCTACCAGGTCCTTTTAACTCCTCCTACAAAATAAAAAATGATGACAATAATAATAATAATAGTGATCATGCTCCAATATTAATAATGGGGATAACACATATCTATATAACCTCAATGGCGGCCTTGATATCTTCCAAGGAGTCCCTTGTTCTCCCAGAGCCGCGGCATCTATGTATAATTCTTTGAACTTGTCGTAGGCTAAAATTATGATTCGTATCAGTAAAATCCTCCATATATAAAGGAAGCATGAGATAAACGTTACCTGATTTCTTTAACAGGGGAAAGAAGGGTCCTTATTTCTTGAGTATTACAGCCAAGTCTTTTCAATTCCAAAATGATGTCACGGAAATCAGCCATTATAATAATTTTAATAACCCAACCTTAACCACACACACTAGCCACACCTATATCAACAAGATACGTGAACGGGAATGAACGTGAACGTGAATGAACGTGAACACGAATACGAACATGAACGGAAATGTCGCTGTCGGCTTCCGTACAGAAGAGTCTCGCTTAAGGGTAGGGTCTCAAAAGCGGACGGACGGACGGACCCGCCCCACCCGAAAAGGACGGACGGACGGACTGA